TTTTACTTGAGCAGTATACTTAAAGTGTACTTCAGAAAGTGTACTGCAAATGTACTTAAGTAAGTGCAGCACTATTGAAGTATTATTGAAGTATGATTGCAGTATAACCACTATTGATGCAGTATACTTGTAGTATACTTAAAGGATACTTCAAGGCTATCTTTTTTGGTAAGGTTATATACATCTATATATTCAACATACATCTATGATCTACAGGTGTACGTGAGACTAAATTATTGAGTCTTCATATACATGTACATTAATTTTGTACATAAACATGTGTTAATTGGACTGGATGAAGGAATACACTATATGATAGGCTGAATTGCACATGCATTTTGATTGGTTCTTTGCACGTATGATCTGATGGAGGACAGATTCACACACCACTTGTACAGTACAAGGTAGATGTCACCATGAACAACATTTTGCTTTTTTATTGCATAAAACAAATAGATTCCATGTTACCGTGGGTCTGTACAGTAATAGGTCACACAAGACATCAAAATGTGGTTAGATAAGGTTTTTTTTTTTAAATAATTGAAATTTGTTAATTTTTAATTTTTTAGGTAAAATGGTCCTTTCATGTATATAGATATGCTTATATTTATAGCATCAGCACTGTACTGATGAGGCCCAGAAGGCCGAGACAGTACTGTCTTCAGTTAGATATAACTCTTTGACATATAAAGCTCTGCTTTCATGTCCAAATTGAGCACTGTGGGATGAGTCATTGCCGCTAGCACTGCACATAGCTCACTAGGCTGACTTCTAGTTTGAGCACTCTGGCATGGCTTAGACGATACCACAAGTGTGGGATCATTTGGGATCCATAGCGGTTCTCCCCCATCCTAGCATCAGCACTGCAGTGATGAGGCCCAGAAGGCCGAAACATTACTGTCTGTTAGTTTATTGATTATCAATTTTTTTGTTTATGATATGTTTTCTAAAATTTATTTGTTGAGTGTTTTTAACATGAGCCACCAGCTTGGAAGATTGGGCAATCACTTCTTACATTATTATAATTATTATCAACATCAATGACACATTCAGCTGCTCCTAAATAAATGTGTTCCACTGTTTTGTTCTTACCACATATCTCTTTGGCTTTGTCGAGGAATCTATCTCTAATTTTATCCTAATTAGTGCCAACTTCACTTTGTAGTTATGGGTTTTATCTGGAGTGTTATATACTGTAATTCTTACTTCCTAATGTACACATACAATGTAGGCCTGTTTTTCTGATCCAAATATTACAAAGTGGAATTGTAATTTTGTTGAACTTTCATGTACCTTCAGTAAGCACTGCAGCTGGCCTGAGCCATTATAAACAAACTCCTGATAAAATAATTTGGTATTGTCAACGGACTTGATAATCTAAATTGGCCACTGCAAGGACTTTCTAAATCCAATGTTTCAAGTATTATTCCTTCATCCGAGAGAATAGAGGAACTGTGGGTTGTGTGAGGTTTAATTTCAGAAAAATGAAACTACAGTGTAAGTTATTGGTGGGAACATGGCAATGTGGAAAACACAATAATTTTTTTTTGTTAATTAATGCCCACATGTAGAGAAAGGCTACAAACTACAGTGTACCATATGTTGCGTAGAATAATTTGGGAGATTGAAGTGTCTAACGATTGGTTTGAATGCATCTTTGCCATTCCTTTCTACATCCAACAACCCACAATTCCTCTATTTGCTTAAAACATTCAGCTTTAGAAACACTTTACAATGGCCAATTTATATTATCAACTCAGTTGATAAAACCAAATTATCAATGCAGCACCACAGTTTCTTTAGAAACGTACACTCTGGTTAAATAATCAACTTACCCCATCGCTGGATTATCAAGTTCATCAAGGCGACGACTGTAATACACTCCTGGTCTAAAATTAGACTGATATCCGGTGCCTGAGTGACGACCAGTCCGGGGAATAAAATCATCTTTCCCATAGTGGGTTGAATATTCTGTACAGTAGAATTTCATGACCCCAACATCAGCACCCTTGCTTTGTAAAATGTGGACATTTCCTGGTCCATTAGGAAGACGTCCCATATTTCTGTGCCTCTGTAAGTCAAGTTATTTAACAATTATTTGTTGAAGAGGAAGTGAATATATATATCTTATTAAGCAAGCGCGAGGGCCCTACNGAGATTACTACCACTCTGGCGGCCAAGGGATTATCACCCTTGATAGAGAATTATCATCTCTTTTGTCGCACAATTAACTAGCTTCCGACCAGCATGTTATGTCAGCTATTTTGTGACTGGAGGGCTTAATCCCCTACCCCTTTACCCCACAAATGTGTTCTTATTCTTGTCTCTAGCTAGTAGGTTGAGAGCATTATCCTTTTGAAAACCACTATGAGAGAATATATATATATATACTGAGAGTATATACTGAGAGAATATATACTGAGAGAATATTGACCGGCAATAGAGCATTTTGATTGGTTGATTTTAGTTATTGGCTCTCTGACTGCCCTAGTTGTGTAATAATGCTGAATAATCCTCAAGACAATTTTATGGGGATTATTCAACAATATTCACTGAGCCTGAGGTGAGTAATTGGTGCAATATAATTGCATAGGTGCTTTGGAATTCTGCTGTAAATATTTCATTTTGATGCCGAAATTATTCTGATTCAATTGTTTCGATAATTCATATTAAGATAAGAGGTCAGTTTCTACTAGCATTAAGCAGTTCATTTAATTTGATCAACAAAAACTTCATATCTTTCATTTGAAAAGTGCTACTCCAATCTTAGTGACATCTTTTGTGCTCTTACGAATTGAATTTTCTTTATTGTGTTCATTGTGGCCCTTTGAATTTAAAAAAAGAAACCATTTCCACCTTTGGTTAACTTTAATTTTTTGGAAATTTTGTAAAGATTTCTTCTGTAGAATTGCTAATGAGAATCAATGACACTTGAACTGAGTCTTACGACTTGAGAGGTCAGTACCGATCACCTGTAATAGTCACATTTGATTGCGCACTCAAATGTGACTATTACTTTTGATATCGCCGTATTAATATTTACCCCTCTTGATATCGGTTCATTAGAGCTTATTAGAGATGTCCATATTTGAAGGTCTCTTCTGGATAAGAGTTTTTCAAAATTGATAGCCTCACTCAAGAATATTATTTGGTTATGCTTTGACAACATGTCGAGGCACACTTGTGCGGTAAATACCGATTAACTCCACACGCATAATTGTTTCAGATATGTTCATGTACAGCGTCTTGAATAAGTAAGTAGGTAGGTAAGGACTTTATTTATAGAGGGGGACACGTAACAGCTGTATAGCTGACAAACCTGTGGCCCTCTAACAACATTACAAAAAACTGGTAAATAAATATATAAATAATTACAAAATTCTATAATAGAAATAGCAGGATAGATTAAAAATATTGAGAAAGATAAAATTAATTTATAAAAAAAATTTAAATTTAGATAATGTGCTATTGCTTAATATTGTTTCAATGTTGTCTAAGTTTTTATATGAGCTTATAAGATGCTTTTTCACGGCTGTTTTGAATAAGTTTTACACTAGGCTTATTTTTGATATCATGGAGAAGGCTGTTCCATAACTTAACTGCGTCAACACTGAATGCCTTGCCACCATCGTTATTTCTTAGGTATTTGGGACACACTAAATTTAAATTGCCATGTCTAGTAGATCTATTGTGTACAGAACTGTTCGTCTTGAGCAAGTCTCTGATGTAAATCGGAACATCGCCTTTAAGGCTCTTAAAAATCATTGTACATTTATTTAATTTGATTTCATCAAAAAAGGGCAACAAATTTAGCTCAAGTTCAGGGGAAAAATGATTTTTTGAGGGTCGAAATCTATCTTTTTAGCCCAACTGTTCTATAAATTCCTTATTATGTTGAACTTTACCGAGGGAAGCTAGACTTCGTGAACTACCAAACTTGTGTCATTGATAAAGGTAGCCAAGATTTGATGGATAAATCGCTTAAATATTAAAAAGAAGAGAGTTATTTACCTACCACCGATGTATGAAACTTTCCTTTACAAGATTTTTCCGAAAAAATTGGTAAATTGCTGTTCACTTGGCTAGTCAGATTCTTTCAGCCATTCCGTGGTACAACAACGCGGCTACCTTGGTAACTAATGAAAGCCGCTGATCGAATGTTTTCATATTGCTGTACCAAGTGACAAAATCGTTGTGTGACAAAAGAAAATTTACACTGTAACACAAAACCATGGTCAATTCCCAGAAGAGAAATTCGCTTTCGCATGACCAGTTCACGTTCAACGCACATCCCATCGGAATGAGAGACTTTTTTGTGGTAGGAAAAGAGAAATTGATTGCGTTTTTTGCATTCTTTTTTACGATTGATTTCTTTTTACCAGCAGCAACATCAAATGCCCGCAGGACGTCTGCAAAAGCACGGACTGTCATGCAAAGTAAGATGTACTTAACATCGTATTTCTGATCAGATCTAGGAAGGCGTTCTTGGAAGTGTCTCCCGTTATCCTGTTCCTATCGGTGTCAGTAGAGCAAGGCTTGGATAGAAGAGCAGATATGAAATTTGACGCCCTTGTCGCCATGTTACTGAATTTGTTGTTGTTTGCGGGAGGTCGATCGACTAAACCTAGCTGTTGTCCAAAAGTGGATCCTGACGCATTTCGTAATGTTGTGAGTACATTAACTTTCAGTTTTGTTCCTTGCAGAAGCCTTTATAGGTTACTTTCTGTTTGAGATAACCTGTAGCTACTCAAAGAGTATTCATGATCGTACTTTTAGTTAAGAGGCACTGACGCAGTCGGTCGAATGGTCAGTGATCTGTAATAATTGTCGTCGGTTTTTTTACGTAACTTTCTAACTACACTAGCCTGCAGGCGGCCATTTATCGCCAGGAAAATAATGAGCACTCGCTCGCCCAAATTACGCCTGCTCTGCAGGCTATACCTACACCAGGAGCCCATGGGTAATGGGCTCCTGGCTACACTGAATGTCCAGTGGCCGGAAGTCAATCGTTTCATTGTCAGCTATTGAAATAATCATCAAATAAAGATGCGTGATTATCCGAGACAAATTGGATAAATTATGCAATGAGTAATAAGCGTGCAATTTGCTACAACATTCCTCGCTTATTTATTCCCCAGAGCGCATAGTAGAGAATGTGAGTTGCACACTTATTCCCAGTCCTAGCGTAGGAAGAATTGCAGAAGATGATGATATTGACTTCATAGCACTAAATTAATTACACTGAAAATTCCTTTTGCATCATTCTGAGTTGCACATCGAACTAAGGGAAGGTACGTTTTTACTTAGGGGGAAAGGGCTCGGGCCTCAGAGCGGAGGGTCATTAGTGAAAGTGCAAGTGAGCCCCAAAAGGGGAGTGTCATACCTCTTTGTAAGCCATTCAAGGGGAGGGTCAAACACCTTTTCCAGAATTTTTAGTGAGGATTTTTGTGATGTTGCTTTCCATTTTTCATACAGATTTTGTTTTTCTTTTCACCTGCTTTGTCCATGCAAAAATTGCTGTATAGGTATCTGTATCTGAAAATTAGGTGGTTTTTTTGCCAGATTAGTTCTATTTGAGCTTTTATTTTTACATGATGAGTCACAAAAAGTCATGTGAAGGGAATGTTGCATAAGATTAGTTCTATTTGAGCTTTTATTTCTTGCAATGAGTCACTAAAAGTCATGTGAAGGGAATGTTGTATAATCTAAAAAAAAATGCTTAAAAACACAGCAAGACCGACTCTTGCAACGAGCTGTAATGAATCAGAATGAATTTTACGAAGTCGACAGAAAGCATTCGGTTTTCAGATTTGTTTTTTTGAAATTTGCTTAGTTAATAGTTAAAACTGTAACATAACTCTTGGACCTTTATTGGTTTGCAGCAACCCCGACTTTAATGTTGGGGAGCAAACGTACGCGTCATACCTATATGATTGTATATATTATAGGATTTACTTTTGTGTGTAAAAGGTTAACTGTCATGTTTTTATTTTTGAATACATCTTTCCTCTGCTGTTAGCATAGATTTGAGTGACCGCTCCGCGATATTCCGACTTGATGATATCTTGTATGATCATGGACTCTACTAGATACAATGAATATATGAAGTTCATATATTTTGAACTACGGTATTAGATACGTATGATGCACGATCCTCGCAGTAGATAGCGCTATTTATGCAATAGCGAAAATCAGACCTTAAAAAAATCAGGCCTGTACGGGATTCGAACCAATTGGTAGAGCGCTGCACTAGTATCGCAGAGGTCAGCGGTTCGAATCCCGTACAGGCCTGATTGTTTTTTTCAGGTCTGATTTTCGCTATTGCATAAATAGCGCTATCTACTGCGAGGATCGTGCATCATACGTATGGACTCTACTAGTTGCTTTCACCGGTATTCCCCACCTGTTGCCCACATTCGCCTTGCATAATTAAAGATCACGTGAAGTTGTCAAGAGTTCGGAGGTTTTCTGATTAGTAGAGAGCAAATAACCAGTTTTCAATGTAATGCGAGAACAAGACAACGATCGGTCCGTAGAGTGAAATATAGGTTTGTGGGATAGCCTCGGTACAAATTCTTCAGGGTGAGATATTTAACCCTGACACCATCGGTAATAAATTTCTCCTATCTATGTTATCTCATTGAAAAGTATATTCTTAAAGAGATAAAGATAAAAGAGGAACCAAATTATTTTGTTTGCTTCAACAAAAGGCCATGGAAAACATTGTAAAAGTTGTATGGCAAGCAGTAAGGAGACTCGGAATGATATGTGGATGCATATTTTTGGTTCTAAACGGTTATTAAAATGGCTCATCCGTATTTTCTCTCCTTCCTTTTTTTTATCATCTTAGAGTGAACTTATCGCGAATCGTGGGTACCTAGTTGAAGAATATTATGTTGAAACTACAGACAATTTCATACTCGGTGTCCAGCGCATCCCACACGGACGAGCGGGGAGATCTAGAGGCCCTAAACCTGTAGTGTTCCTGCAGCATGGTCTCTTGGCGGACTCGTCAAATTGGGTCCAAAATTTTCCAGATAACAGTTTGGGGTACATCTTGGCCGACAATGGGTTTGATGTTTGGCTTGGTAACATCCGGGGAAACAGATACTCCAGACGTAACCGCCACTTAAAGCCTAATCAGAAAGAATTCTGGGATTGGAGGTGAGTATTCCTTGAAAAGTTGGCCGAGGATTTGTTGATGTAAGAAAATTAATTGTGCAAGTAACTCACTCGACTGATATGAAAGAAGGCTATTTCCCCTCGATAAATGACACAGGTATGCTCGAGAAAATACCGTAAATAGCTGGTGTTTTTAATGAGAGGCAAACCATCGCCCTTCCGATGACACTTTACAGATAGGTACTACGATCACCCATGAGACAAAAGGCGGCCATGTCATTGACTTATGTACTTTCATGTGGCAAACATCCTTTTGACGTTTTGAACCAGTGCCGTCCTCCGCGTTTTAGTTAATTTGCCGTCTCTGACAGTGGTACATGTAAGTGTTTGGTTACAGCTTTCAAGAAATGGCCCAATATGACATCCCAGCCATGCTGAAACACGCGCTAGAGATCAGCGGTCAAGACCAGCTCTTTTACATTGGCCACTCGCAAGGAACTCTGGTCGCTTTCACGGGTTTTTCATCCAACCCCGAGCTTGCAAAGAAAGTGAAACTGTTTATTGCCTTGGCGCCCATCTACCAATTGGACCACACTGCCGCAATACTGAGGGACTTGGCTTTCACTCTTGACCCCTTAGAGGTATGAATTGAGCGTAAAACGCTATATTAGGTTCGCGCGGCATGGTAACTTATGATGTGGATCTGCATTTTGCTAATTTTCCTCCAGAGGTAGGGTCAACTACTTAATGGTCATCTTGTGAAGCGTCATTTTTCACTGTGATTTGTTGGTTTTTAACAGCTGTGATCGCCACATGTTGATTATCTGTCCCGTGAGCGGTCTGTTGTCGCGTGTCTCTGTGATTATTTTTGCTTCTTGCTCGTGAGCATTTATGCTTCTGATTTTCTACTTTTAAGTTCTTTTATCTTAAAACCTCTTTATCTAAAGCTTGATTTAAAAGATAGAACGTAAAAAAGAATAAAGCCCCTATTTCCCATTTGGGTTTATAATTGTTACAGAACAGGTGAGAATAAAACGGTTGCCTTTGGACAGTTTCTGAAGATTTCCTTTTCTTTGGAATAACGAAAGCATTAAAATTTCTTGCCTCTAGATACTAGAACTATGGGGTGGCTTTATGCAATCAAATCACTATTTCTCACTTCAATCTCAGCCAAAAGTCTAAGAACACTTTCGGGAATAGGAGCAACCGCAAATACGGTATATTTTTCTCACTGTGGTTTTAACCGCTTTACTCTCCATACATGAAAAATGGTATGTGAACCTATATCTTGATTAATCTTTTTAAAAAAAAAAACTGTAACTTCAAGAACTGTTGAAACAACTATGTACAACTACTATTGATTTACTTCTGACGAATAACTGTCAAAATATATATGTGCTGTTTTTCCGTCGGTGAGTTTTCCAACTGAGGGTGTCCTGAGGAACAAACCATTTTTCTGCTATTTCCAAAAGGCTCCTCGCATTTCAGCTAAAGAAAATGTACGTTTTTGCATCATGCAATCCTTTATCCTTCTCTCTTTAGTGCGTTGAATGTAGTTTTCTCAGATCGTTACCTTGTTTTTCATCACTAATTGGAGAAACGTGGGAAACGGCCTTTGTAGACTGTAAAAAGAGACGATTTAGTCAAGTTAATACGATGCACCAGAGTACATGGTATTCGTGATATTCACCGATCGATTGTTTTCTTCCGAGGTGTCTGTGCCAAGGAAATTTGACCAGGACTGAAAGAAGCCTCCTTTTCTTTTTTTCTTTTTTTTTTTTTTTGTCAGGAACTTCTTCGTCCCCTTGGCGAAATCGAGTTCTTGCCTGGTCGACTGCTTCAGAAGCTTATAGATATCGGTTTTTGCGGCAGCAAGTGGTCAGAACAGGCTTGCTATGATCTGGGAGGGTACATTTTTGGCTTTGATGACAGCAACAACAATATGGTAAGTAACATTACATTCAATTGATAAATGTTGTTGGTATTTTAAAACAATAATGTAAGTATAATGTAGCCTCAAATACTTAAAGTTTTCTCCATTTGCCTTTTTCGTTTTGGTTTTGATCGTGCTTGGGTAGGCGCTCAGGATGGTTACAGTGTACTATTTGTTTTTTGTTGTGCTTTCACCAGAGTCGGGTTCCGGTTTATCTTTCAAATTGGCCAGCAGGTACTTCCCTGAAGAACATCATTCATTTCGGCCAGGTAAGTAACCACAAAGGGCCGGTAATTTAAACGAGGTCTAACGGAGGTGTAACTGTTTTACACAAGCAATGGGTCTCAGGCATTCTCTATAAGTGGGTTGATTTAATTAATAAAATTGAAGATAGTTTAGAACGTGTTTTTTTTTTTTAAACAATGGCTAAACTTCGAGTGTCTGAGAAAACTGTCGAGCACCGTTTAAAAGAACAGTTTACTTGGGGTGTTTGACCGCCGTTGCAAAAGGTATTGTCCAGCAGCACAATTTTTTCCTTTGGCTCAACGGTGCAATTCATATTTCAGTTACCGGTGAAGTTTTCAGTGCAAGGGTTTTTTGTCTGCGTTGCAGCAAGCGCAAGCACATAAAATTGAAGGATACTTAAATGGAAAGGATTGACCACGTGCAGAGTCAGCATGTCAGCTTCTCAACATCAACCAAAAAAAAATATGAATGAGATAAAGAAATAAATCGAGAACCGGTCATTAGGGAGCTTAAGCACCAGGCGTTCATGACTCACGGAGGCGAACCGGAAGTGAGATTTCGAATATTTTTCCTACTGCGCATGTCAAAAGGTCGTCGTGATTTGTCACGGCGGCCGCAAAGGCGCTTGTGGCCTCCGTGCTGATTTTCCACGACCGCGAATGGTCTAGACTGTACGTGACAAAAAGCACAACGTTGTCAACACCAAAAAGAGCTTCTGAAAATGGATTCGCTCGAGGAAGGGAAAGAGAAGTCTTCGCCTTACATTTTTATTTGTTTTTGTGTTCAAATTCATTCGGGAGCTTGTCTTCCGAGAGTTGTCTTGTCACACTTAAATTCGACGCGACCTGTTTACTTGAATACTTGCCTTTCTAGCTTTCTGCACACTCGTCTTTTATTTACAAAGTCTTCTTAAATAAAAATTTAACTGACAATTTCAGTTTTTTGTTAAAAAACGCATTCATATAAACTTTTAGGAGTTTCTTTACCGATAGTTTTCTTGGCAACCTCTGTACATGCGACTTGTTTACTTTGTTAAGTGTATGGTTAACAATATAGAAACTCAGGTATAGGTACATTCTGGCTCGGAGATTTCATCTGAGTCAAATCGCTAGTACAAGCCATAGCTGAATTTGAGGTTTCTTGACGTGTTTGCTTCGAGCAACAGAAGTAGTTCTTCGTGACTGATGACGTTCATGTCATGGCTTAATAAAAGCATTTCCCCAGCTTCTTTAAATGAACACATTTTCGTTTTTTCAAGTGCGAACGCACAACATAGAGCAATTTTTGTTTCTTTGTTTACATCACGGGCTTGCATATTTTTATTTTCGCGCGCTTTCCACGCTCGTGCCGTCGTGAAAAAGAAAGGAGTCTGCTTAAAGTAAAAAATTCGCGCCAAAAACGCCAATCTCGATCTAGTCCCCTCACGGCAATAAGCCCTCCGTCATGAAGAAAAGTCCTGCTGCTTAAATTCCCTTTTATCCGGGCGGGGAGGGAGAGGGGGAGGGGGATGCATGAGGCTCTGTAATATTCTGATGATCTCACTCAGTGGCAGAACACTGTAATTGGCTGCCAATTTTCCATAGCTCCCCCATTTATACCCTGTTGGCGACGAATGATCCCCCCTCCGTTCCCCCCTGATAAACCATGTGATCCCCTGAATAAATCTTGCAACCTACCCCTCACCCGCAGGCGATATATAACGAATGGTCCTTGATTATGTAATATACAAGAGGGGCTGCCTGGCGACCAAAAAGTTAGCTTTGTCCCAGTCTCCTATTTCTAACTTTTATTCTCACTTGCAGCTTATATTATCGGGAAGATGTCAGAAGTTTAATTATGGCAGGAAAGGGAATCAAAAACATTACCATCAGGTAATTGTAGTCACTTTTTGTTGATGTATTGTTTGTCTTGAGTGTCATGGCAAAATTGAGTGGAGCTGTAGAATAGATTTTTATGTTGGTGGTTTTGTTTGTACAAAGAGACAAAAAGTTAAAAGAAATCAGGGATTGTTCCACCTAAGAAACAAGAAACCATTTGCTAACTGTGATGAAAACAATATGAATGATAGTTTTGAATTTATTAGACTGCTTCACGATTGAGTATCGTAAAGCCAAAACCAAGTAGATAAAGTAATCCAAATGGCCAATCAGAAGAAAGGAAAATACCTTCAGCAGCCAATGAGAACTCACAGTAAACACAACCAAACTTCCTAAAGCGCGGGAAAGTGCGGGCGACCAAGTTGTGATTGATTTATATTTGAATATGATTGGTCAAGAGAAAGGCGCGAGTTTTCTGGACCAATCGCTGCCGACCTAACGCAAAAGCAAAGCATTTCCGTAATACTTTCGTCACTTGATTTAAAATTGCACTAAATTAGTCAAATAACAATTTTTTGTGTTTATTTATTTATTTTTTTGTTTGTTTGATGTTTGCCTTTCAAGGACTCACCACCAGTGTACAATGTCAGTAAGATGATCACACCGACAGCATTTTTCTTCGGCGGCTGTGATTCACTGTCTAACGCAACTGACGTGGAAGCACTAATACCCAAAGTACCAGACCTTGTACTAACTCAGTTCTTTCCTAAATGGAATCACGTGGATTTTGTCTTTGGAGAGGACGCTACTCAAGTTTTGTACAACCACCTTGTCAAAATTATGCATGATTCTTCGGTGGAGCAGTAAGGGCATTTTCGAAATGAGAAGTTGGTCTGCTAATGTGAAAAGTTATGTTCTAATAGTATTGGATCATTGAGCAGTTCGGCGATTCCGCACCGAAAAGACAAAATTTAATTTCAGAAGAGGAAATTCATTTTCGTGAGGATTGGATTACTGTGAGATTGTTTAAAATATAATTTAATGTTACCGAGGACTACCAAAGAAACTGATAGGCAAATCGAAAAGCATATCATTCGATGGACGATTTTTATCTTGTAGCCACTGTACTTGATTTAATTTTAAATCGTTTTTTTCTTAATTTCATCTCTGGACCTTTACTCATTTCCTAGCGTCAATTTATCCTAAGGCGTATCCCTGCAAAGACGTCCGATGAAAAAGCTTTAACAACTTGAAGTGACATCGCAATAAAGCCCAAACGATTGCCTGAGGTCAAATCTAGTATAAAGCATCAAACTTATCGTAAAGGGCGAATCAAATTCACCTCTTCGTTCGACAGGTTCAAGAAAGGGGACCAAAATCCTACTTATACCTTATTTAAAACGTCATTCTGTACAAAAATCGTAGTGATCACACAGTCTCTTTTTTAAATCTTACAAATTGTATAATGATATAAAAATTTTATTTATGATTAAAGATTGTTACATATTTTTATAGCATTTTTTATTTATTGCTTTGTCATAGAACCTACACATCTCTAACCGATCCAGCCAACACTAGATTCCTCGTTTCTGTTTCCCTTGACAACCGAGCCGAGTAGGCTATTTCTCACTGACCGCGCACCTGAAAAGACTGGAACTGGCAACAAATGAATCCTCCCCATTCGTCTCCTAACTTTTGATAGGCATCCGCGTGGTCGGAAGTGACTAGCACATACACTTTAATCACGTAGCGCCATCTTGAATTGCGTGGCGCACCAAACCGGGGCTCGACGGGCATTAAGTTTTGGGAATTGGGAAAGCGGACAAGGAAAAATTTTTTACCCCTTCCTATCTTCTCCTTTGCACCTGTCACGCACTTCACGCGTTACTAAACTTTCTGAAAAGGTATGGAGAAGCCGGGGTATGAGTCAGATAACGGCAGAAAAATAAATTTCTCCATGAGAATGGCGAGAAGGGGATAAAATGGACCAAAAAAAAGACTCTCTTGCTCCCTGCTCCCCGCTTGACGCGGTTCGAGAAAGACGTACTGAGGGGGCTTTTGTTGACAGAATTAGTACTGAAACACCACGAGAAGGCAGTTAAGTTCATACATATTCTAGATCTTTTGTTTTTTTTTTGTTTCTCTTTCTAATTTTTTTTTAGAAAGGGTGTCCTATTTTTATTCAGTAGATACGTGCGAGGTTTCTGGTCCCCAATCTTTGTTATTTGTATCACGTTTTCAGCTATTATCCAAGCGTCTTGCCCCAATCTCTCGCTTTTTGGCGCATTGTCACGATTAGCTTCACTCGCTATGGAGCCTTTGAATGGAGAGTTCGAAGTTCCATCATGAGTTGACTGCCTGTCTACAAACACCTCTTGATAACCTGCTTTAGAGCAGATTCTGTCACATTGTGGTGCTTACAGTAATCATTCGTCACGTTTCTGGAGAGGTGACTATGGAAAAAGAACAAGCTCAATCGTCATCTTTTCTGACGCCTTTCAATTCTTGACTTTCACCCACGTGACACCACACTTGACAACGGTTGCAATCCAAAATTAGTGTGCCCCTCAACCGTAAACAAACAAAGAGATGCATCGAAAATACTGGTACTGAGATTTACAGGTCTCTAAAAGCGCTTTTCAACGAGAAAATTAACAAACACCACCGAAATGGCATTACTTAACATACATTTCCTAGCTGCTGAGGGGCATAGTAATGGCGGACACTGTATTTGGATATGCCTGTGACGTCACGTGAAAGTCACGAATAACTTTCCTTTCGTTAGTCTTCCAAGACCATCTAACGGTACATCGCAGTCAGTCTAATGAGTGGCATTTATTTCATTACTAAACATCAACACGCGACCTACTTATCTAATAAGTTCCGAAAGCGATTTTTTTTTTGTCCTGACATAAAAGAAGTTGTAAAGCTGAAGGATACGTGAAAAAATGGCTATTAAAGATAAACAGAATTCTGAGAACTAAGAGCAATTATATAACGTACTTAGCACCGGGTCTTTTGTGTAAATGTTTTTTCTTCTTTATTATTTAAGTCAAAACGGCCCAACCCTTTTCCGGCTTAAAGTGTAGATCGATTTATGATTTTCTTTCGTGCGGTCTTCCTATGCACGCGTCTTTGAAACTCGACTCCTCTCAGCGGGGGCCGGGTGTTTAAAGGTCTTGTGACTTTTTAGTAATATCCTTTCCATCAGTGCTCTCCACGGACAACCTGGATCGAAATCTGTCAAGACAGAAGAGCAGAGTTCTCCTTGAAGAGGTTTGCCAGTTTGTCTTCGTGAAATTGCGAACCTTTCCTTAGTCCTCTCTCTTTAAACAGTTTGATTACAAAATACTCGCTGAATACGATTTGCTTTAATACAGATTTCGTCCTCAGAGTTCATCAGTGAGTGCTTTTTGTCCGGTGATTGTCAACGATGGCTGTCCGTTCTATGACAAACTTTTTCTGTCTAGTCTCAGTTCTTTTGCCATTGCTGAGCTGTGCATCTTTAGAGACTCAAGAAAAAGAAGTGGAAGACCCGGACCTTTACAGGACTGCGGTAGGAGATTTTTTTTTAATTCTACGATTGACTATTTCATAACCATATGACGCAATCACACTTATGGAATAATTTCTTGATGTTATGAATTTGGTTTGGAACTTCTTCGAGAACCATTGCAATTACTTCAGTCAACATGTTAATTTTTCATTCCTAGTGACAAATTTTCATTGTCATGACGTGGCTTTCACTACATTGAAAAGGAATTTTTTGAGCTGACGGAAATGAAATGTAAGCCTATTAATTAACAAAACTGTGTTTGCTCTTCTCCCCTTCTTCAATTAATTTTTGCTCGTAACCTTTATCATATTCTAGAATACTGTCGAAGAAATGGATTCTTTTTATTTTTTTCATAATGAACCTGTCATAAAGTAATATATGCGGTGCCTTTTCATTCCCTTGAATACATGTGTAAACCCAAGTTGATAGCCTGAATAGAAAGGGATTACCTACTCTTGGTAAGAGCAATTGAACCTTCCGTCGGTAATTGAAACCTATCTATGGATAGTGTTAGACTGCAAACGACTGCGTTCACGGTTTGGAAAAGCATTGTATTTTTGAAAGTTTGTGTTCGACTGCCTATGCTGGGACGCGCTTGCCCTTTCTTTCCACAAAACTTAACGGGTCAGCCTCTGAAACGCCTAGTTCATTCCCTTTTCCCTTCCCCCGGCGCTATCCAATAAGCTTTCTTGCTGATTAGGCTTCGTGCCAAGACTTCTATGGGAAAAGGTTTGCACTTGATGACAGCTTTCGAGGCGTATGTCATTTCCACATTATGGAAATTGTTTGGCTCAAGGGAAATGCCATTGTTGCCTGCCGACAGGATTCATAACCTTTAAATTGTTGTTTTTGAGAGGATAAGTGGTGCGTCTTTCATACATGAAAGGATAATTTCAAAGATATCGATGTATAGATCTCTGATCCGTGGAGAGCACAGGAGACTTCCTCGCTCCCATGCATAGACTGGTCACATGCATACACTCAGGTTATGCATGTGGGCTGTTTGTCGATCGTTCGAAAGCTGATACGGTATTAGTGAAGCCTCTGTAAATATGCAGTTATGTTTACGTTACGTAATGGGCGCAATACGAGGGTTTTCATGGAAACTAGCTTTTGAATTAAGACAAACTAACCTCGCCCAAATGGTTGTTCGTTTGCGTGGTGCGAGTTTTCTGGGCTGATTTAAGGCTGTTTAGCTTACCTTCAGTTTACCTGCTGTAACCTCTATATCTATTCCCTTTTTGATGATGTTAAAAACGCACTCCTCATTGTGCGTGGGACCATCGCGAAATTTCCTGCGGTGCTTTAACATCATTTGCACTTCGACGTGAACATCGCTGAAATGTCAGAGCGATTTCTTAAACAAGTAAACAAAATTCCAGAGGCCTGGAATTTTTGTTTTCAACAGATCGCCACCACAGTGGTTAAAAAACTTCATAAATGTATGAGGCACGGAATCAATTTCGTCCAAACAAATCAAAAGGTCAATTTCATTATTTTAGTGACCAAAGTGCATTTTCCAACCACGTGCATCTCAGCAAATGAACGCGCACGATTTTCCACGATTATTATGGAGACCTTGTGAGAGCGTAATCTGATCGACCCGGTGAGTTTAGTACTGAGAAGGACTGTTGTCGGTTGTGGTGACTGACGTTTCGACAACCGGAGCGCAAGTCATCACCAGGGTCAAGTGGAAAGTTGTCGTTATAACATATTTGCGCTTCACTATTATAAATACATTTTAACAAACCTTTATCGATGTTTGTGTGAAAGGTTATTTACCTTCATTCTAGATCATACAGATGGGCGAGCAATGTGCCTAATAATAAACGCAAAAATATTTGTGCTGCAAAATTTACAATGCAGACGCATTGACGAGGCTAGATGAATTTAAACTTCCCTTCCTGCAAATGTCTAAAGCATCACTCATCGATGTCATTACGGATACCTTTTTTTCTTTGGAAAACTAGAGATGTAGCCTGCGAGGATTGGGTGCTGCGAAACGAAGGGCTCTTCGTCCGCGAGTAAGGTTGATCAAAGGGAGCCGGCGGGGATCAGCAAGGTATCTGGCAATGAGTGCCCTAGCCCTTGCAGAATTCTTGCCCCAGGCCTTAAGCTTTCTTGCGGCGGATAAACGCTGGTGCCATGGCGCGTATTATCTACGCCTATAGATCTACGGTACAACATTGACATTTGGTCCAAGCTGGGTCCAAATTCAAGTTTTGTGAACATTTTCTCGAGCAAGAATGCTTTTTCATACCAAAGGCTCTCGACCGGCGTTGTAGCATAAAACTCAGATTTATGGTTCAGACGCTATGCTATGTTACTGAAATTTAAAGGTTTCATACGTATCGAAGTGCATTGGCTGCTCGAAACAGCAACTGAATATATTTTTAGCGACATTTGTGAAAGTTTTTAGTTACTTTTTTCATAGACTGAACTGATCAAGGACAGAGGCTATCCGGTGGAAAATCATTTTGTTACAACTCAAGATGGTTTCATTCTCAACATGCAACGGATTCCGCATGGACGAAAGAAGAATCGCAGTCCATCTCCCAAACCGGTTGTCTTCCTTCAGCATGGATTTACCATGGATAGTACCAACTGGATACTAAACGGACGCTCAGAGAGTCTGGCCTACCTCCTTGCAGACAGGGGCTTTGACGTATGGCTTGGAAACATCCGAGGCAACAGATATTCACAGAAGCATGTAAAACTGGATCCGAGTGATCAAGAATTCTGGGACTGGAGGTAATATGACGGTCTCAAACTATAGATCACTGATTTTTCTGAAAGACTGACAGAATCCGCTCAAAATGAATACATATACCTTAAGCAAGCGTGCTTATTTTTCAGCTAAATCTACCGTCATTTGATGAGCGGATCGTGCTCATTTGTTTCTTTTCTTTTTCCGTTCTTGTGATTGTTTTTAGTATACCGTTCTTTAAAAATCAACTTTGAGTTCCCTTTTTTCTATAGCTGGCAAGAGATGGCTAAATACGATCTTCCTGCCATGATAAACTATGCGCTAAATGTGAGTGGACAGGCTCAGCTGTTTTATGTGGGTCATTCCCAGGGAACTCTGATTGGCTTCACAGGCTTCTCGAGTAATTCCCAGTTGGCAAGTAAAGTGAAGATGTTCTTCGCCCTGGCTCCGGTCTACACTGTTGGGTACGTCTCTGAGCTTATTCGCACGGCTGCTTACGCCTTGTATCCAGTTTTGGTGAGTTGCATGAGTACTTATCGACCATTGAGGTATGCTAGTAATTTTTTCCAGGCAGCAACAATGACAGCAAATATTTCATTGCTCACAAAAATAGTATTACAATGAAATATGTAATTATTCATAGTTCACAGGAAAAATTTAAAGAATCATAGTTAAATTAGCAGTTGAGCCTAAAGACTTGAGGAACCGTGAGGTTTTCGAGTTGGCCTCTGTTCAGAAGTTCACGTGACACGTGTGCATCCGGGCCAACTGATTCACATCACCGCAGCATTTATCTCGGAGTATTTTGCTAGAATTGATGATATCCTGATATGGTTTTAAAGTATCACAGAAGGAAAAAATAATTTTTTAAATTTCTTGAAACCTTAATATGTAACGAAAAAAATAAAGATCTATCAACTTCTGAAAATTTTATTTCGATATCATTTTTACTTCAGGAGATATAATGCAAAAAGTAATTTGAGAGTAGAACGGAAGGCGCGAGATTGATGCACTTCATGTCAACTTCTTTTCGTCACCTAATTAACAATTTCAAAACCACTCTTGATTTTCAATGCACACTCTACAGTTTTGTAAAGGTTTAAAATCACTCATTTGTTATAAGTCTAGTTCAAGTTCTTCAAGCTTTAAGGAAATGTATACTTTGATAAGGATAACGCGCCTAATTTTCATGCATTATCCGTTTGAGCAAAAACGCTAAGTTTCCTTCAGTGATACCGACACCGATAAACCTCACCGTTAGGCGGCTCAGCTTTGAACCTGAACGCTTCGGTACTGAATTCCAACCCCGACAAGTAGACGTACTGTGTCTCCTATTTGCCACTCTAATTCTAGGGTCAATTAAAGGCTGTGAAGCGCTTGAGGGCATAAATATCTCATTAAAGGACTTTAGCGTTCCGTTTCCCTTAGCAATTAGCAACGCACTACCTGGCTCCTTGGATCACTTTTTCTTTCCAATGAAATCACACTTTACCGATAGGTAGTTTCTCCTGAAGTAAAAAGCCAGAGTATAGTACACCATCTTGAGTCAGTGTTCATTATTGGTCAACAGCATGTATACCAAAGCTATCGCAGTGGAAAGATGTTAACAAATAACCTGGTTCATAAGCTAACTGAGAAGTCGGTGTGCGGCGGAGAGTTTTCAGAAAAGATCTGTTATGACGTTGGAGAAGAGCTGTTTGGATTTGACAGCGCCAACATAAACATGGTATGAAGCTACTCATAGTTTGCTTTGCGTGAGAATAGAATTCAGAGGTGTTTTAATTTTTTGTTTTTCAATCTATTACTGAACGATAAGAAGAGTCTTTTGCTCACTTTTCAGTCCAGAGTGCCTGTTATTTTGTCTCACTGGGGATCAGGAACGTCTTATAAGAACCTCATTCACTTTGGTCAGGTACGCGCAGCTTTTGTCTCACAGATCCTTGTGACTAATACTTGATGATTTCAGTTCTTTCTGCCGATTCATTGTTAATATTGGCAACGCCTTTCACGTGATCTTGGTCGCTCTTACCCTTACATCCCTAAGAATGACTACCACCTAATTTCTCGTCACATTGTTACCCCCCCCCTCCCCCTCTGAGTCACATATTGGGGTCACGAGAATAAAGGAAACGATCACCAATTTAAAAAAGCTCTTGATTATGAAACAAATTCTCCTTGTCACAATCCTAGGAAATGTATAGAGAACAGTGCGAACAATATGTATACCAATGTTGGGGTATGAAAGGTTAAGAATGAATTTTCCTCCCACCTTGCGTGCTCCAAAGGGTCTGATACGCCGTAACTGTACACACAATGCACTGCAGGCACCCTTTCAAAAGGTAACGCTTGGTGTTACTAAAGAGCTATCTGACACGATGGAAATAATTTAGCTTTTATTTTGAACCAAATTTTGGACCTTTGTATATAACAGCTGCAATGGCGGATGAGGATAGTTGTTTCCTATTTATGTTGTTATCTATGGCTTATTTCAGATGGTGTTGTCAAAGAAATGTGCCAAGTACGATTATGGATTCTTCTCCAATTATAGAACTTACGGCCAGGTAATTATAACACCTATTTCAGTCAGTCGTTTGGAAGCATTGTCACTTGAAAATCATAGGTCCACCAGACCGTCAGTAAGTTAGCAAGCCGGAGAGCCAGCCTACCCATGCTTTCATACACCTAGAAGATTGATCAGTCTATTTAGAGTTTTGAATAAAGGCTGATAGTTTCGAAAGAAACTGTTTGGGGCTGCGTCGGTGGGGGTAACGAAATAATTT